AAGTCGTCTGCGCTCATCTAGGGAATGGTTCATTGTCATTTAAGCCTTCCCTCTTACGATTTCCCTCACTAATCTCTTTTTATAAATTATGGAACTCCTCTTGAGTTTCACAAAATCTTGGGCGCGTGGGAGGGTTGGGTCGTAGTATTTTGGCTTGAAAAGCAGAATACAATTACTCTACGAGCGTGCGTTAGATATGAGATGAAAAGTAGCCAACGAGGCGCGTAGCGCCAAGTTGGCTATAATCATTTTGTATCCAACAAGCGCGAGTGGAATAATTGTTTTATTGAAAACGGCCCCGAAATATAGAAAACTGTAATAAAATGATAAAAAAAAAAGGTATTACGCGCGCACTTACCATATTTGCAGAGCACGATGGCCAAGGCAATGGAAACTCTTGAATTGCAATATCCAATGATCCAGCTTTTAATAGTATCTTATCTCTACTGAAGCAGCACTCCGTATGCTTATTCCTTCGCCTCGCTCCTGAAGACAGCATAGTTCCTCGTAGGTTTTGTTTTTCTCGATTTCCTATACTGCTTTGGTGTACAGGTTTCTCATAAGTTATGATTTTAGCATCGATTTTTTTCGGAAAATCTCGGAGGGATGAAGCTCGAATTCGGCAAAGAGATAGAGAAAAATCTCATCGATCAATAACCGTCGCCATTTAGGTGAGATTTTCAATATTGTGGCGTTTATTCCAGTTTGATGTGGAGGAGGTCGCGGCTGGCGGCCACCAAATTGAAAGCCTTGCCTCCCCCCTCTTGTTTTACCGGTAACCGACCAAAAGCAATTTCGTTGAAAGACCCTTCAGACGGCCCAGGAAGGCGAAATAACACCACACATTACTCGATTAACGTTTCATTTAACTTTAGTGGGATGTTCAGACCGAGAAGTAATTTAGATATGGAATTTTCAGAGTGTTATTCATAACCCTCACAGATTCTCTTCGTTTCTGTAAACAATTATTAAGCCTGAACACATAGGGTGGTCTGCCTGTAGTTCCTCAAGGTCAGGTCTGTTTGAAGACGTCGTCCTCGCCGAGGGGATGACTTTAATGTCACGCGAAGGAAAGAATCTGTCAGACAAGTCTCCTAGAGGTGCATCATTAGCTGATTATAGGTCACACTCAAAGAGAAAGAACAGTTCATCTGGTTGAAAACATTTACCACGTCACGGATGACAGACATTT